CTTTCATTTCCTTTTTATCTTAGTTGTAAAACATCCTTAGGTAGAAAGCTTCCTGGTTCTATGATTCCCCATCCGTCCATCCATCCATCCATCCTTCCATCCTGCAAATCATTATTGTGTGCCCATCTTGTGCTTCATGCTATACAATGAACAATAAAGGAGAAAAATAAGTAAAATATATGGAATGTTAGCTGGTGATAGTACTACAGAGAAAAGTAAAACTGGGAAGGGAGTGGGGGGTTCTGGGGCCCAACCCTTGCAAGCCTGGGAAGGATACAGGTTGAGAAGGTCAGACAAGGGACCAAGAGGAAGATTGGAACCACCAGTGTGTTCCACTTTGGCTCTAACCAGAATCCTGCCAGGGAACTTGTGAAGCATACAGAATTCTCAGTCACCCTAGAAATCCTCATTCTGCAGGTTCTGGGGTGTGGTGTGCTGTGCTAAGTCACTCAATCATGTCCCACTCTTTGCAACCCTATGGACTGTAGCCCACCAGTCTCCTCTGTCCGTGGGGTTCTCCAGGCAAGAATACCGGAGTGGGTTGCTATTTCCTATTCCAGGGGATATTCCTGACCCAGGGATCAAATACGAATCTTTTGCATCTCCTGCATTGGCAGGTGGGTTCTTTACCACTAGCACCAGCTGGGAAGCCCATACATTTTTATTTCTTTATTTATTTGACTGCCCTGAGTCTTCATTGCCAGTGTAGGACCTCTTTAGTTGCAGCATATAAAGTCTAGTTCCCTGACCAGGGATTGAACCTGGGCCCACTGCCCTGGGAGCATGGAGTCTCCCGAAGAGAAGTCCTTGGAATTAACTGTTTTAAACAAGGATATTAGGTAATTTTTATACAGCCCCTCGTCACACAGGGCTTGAGAACCAGTGTTTAGAAAGCAAAAGCCAACGAGAGGTTAAAGTCCAGGGTCATCCAGAAACCTTGAGGGTCATGGAAGCTGGGAAAGGAGGCAGTCAGGACACTGATATCTGGCAGCCAGCTCTCCCTTTTTCTCTCCTTCACCTATCTTCCATAGGATAGAAGAGCCTCCATCTGTCTACACCTTGGTATAGATTAACACTCCTTGCTCAGAGCTCCAAACTCTGCTCTTCATATGCAGAGAGAGCTGCTTTGGGAATTAGGATAACTTCACTCCCTACAAAACTCCCAGTTCCAAGATGGCACCTGCCACCTACTTCTGAAGCAAGGATTCAGTGGGGGAGAGAAAATCCAGGACACGGTTTATGGAGCATGAAGCATGCAGACATTGGTTTAACATTCAAAAACTATTATCTTGTCACGTGCTTATTAGTCCTTGTGTTTCTTTCTGTTTAAGCAGCATTTAACACCTTTGGCTGCTTCTTCCTCCTCGAAAAACATTTTCCCATCCACATTCTCCTAGACTTCAATGTCAAGCTGTTCTTCCCAAGTCATCTTTGTATTAATAGATCTCTCCTCTGCCCCTCACTTATGTATGGTTCTCCCTGCAACTCTCTTCTCATTCCCTGTATACTCCTGGGGTGACCTCACCCATGTCTGGGTTTTCTTTCTTTTTAAAAATTGAAATATAGTTGACATACAATATTATGTTACTTTCAGGCATACTACAAGCTGATATGACATTTGCATTCACTATGAAATGATGACTATCCTACGTCTAGTAACCATCAGTCCTCATATGAAGTTATTACAGTATTATTGATCATATTCCTTACACTATATATTTACATCCCCATGGCCCATCTTTCCTACCTTTCTCTCCTGAGCTGAAGATGTGCTGCCAACTTCTGCCTTAGATGTGACCCAGAAACCTTAAAGTCACCAGATCTAAACTCTCCACAGGTGGGGACAAAGGTGACTCCCTCTGCCCAGGAACAGCATCCCTTTGATTGAAACCCAAGAACCTAAACTGAACTGTATTGAGTAGAAAGATGATTTCCAATGGAGCTTTATATTTACTTGCACAATATGTTAAACAATTAGGTGGATCTGAAGCAAAACCTAGGGATTCTATGAAATTTCTTCCCCCTTTCTCTTTCCTCCACTCTCCTCGCCCTCCCTCTTATTTCTTACCAGCCCCTTTCTCCTAGACGTCTTAGTGCTATGAACCTCTTAGAGGAACTCTGTTTTCTGCAGCTAATTCAGGCACTAAGAATTTGATTTCTGAACCAAAAGGAGAAAATGCGTTGGATCCCAGGAGCACTAAATTTGTTTGGGCAATGACACTGTATCAGTTTCTAGAGTGTGCCCTGTAAAATGTTAAAGAAATTACAAGAAAAGATAAGGGTCTTATCTTTTCTTTTATATGGACCATTTTTAAAAGTCTTCATTGAATTTGTTACAATATTGCTTCTGTTTTATGTTTTGGTTTTTTGGCCCCAAGGCATATGAGATCTTAGCTCCCCAACCAGGGATTGAACCCACACCCTCTGCATTGGAAGTTGAAGCCTTAACCACTGGACCACCAAAGAAGTCCCTCTTTTTTCTTTTGTTCCTTCAAAAAAACAGGGCACAAAACTGTCAAAAACAAACAAAATCTTTCTTTCTTACTTAAAAAAAAAAAAGAAAAATCAGATACCCTTCATCAATTTCTTCTTTTTAATGAATGATGAGATTCTTTCTGCATCTACAGCACTATCAAGTCATTGTTTACTCTCGAATAAGGAAGTGTGCTGCAGCCTGTTTGAGCTCCTGATGTGGGCCCACGGTTTACCTGTCTCTGCTCCTCTCTCCCCTCCTTTTGGTTAACTCAACATTTTAGTGACCAGGTGTAATAAAGGTGATCCAGATAATGCTTTACAGCTTTTAAAAGAAGCAGGCCCTTCTTTCAAACTAATTCTCACATGAAACCTGTCTGTAACACTGCTGGCTGTGGATCAGGGCTCTGGGCTCCAGCTATAGAAGGACAATCCCCTTCTCATATTTCCTTGTGGGGAATTTCTCTACCAGCGGTGGTTCCCAACTCCAGCTTTACATCAGAATTGCCTGGGGAGCTGTAAAGTCCCCTCAAAACCAGGCTGCATTCCAAACCAAACCAATTTCGTCTCCATGTGGGGCCCAAACAGCAACAGTTTGCAGAGGTCCCCAGGTGACACGACTATATACCCACTCCGGCTCTACACGCCCTCCTGTATCAGGCCCTGATGCGGAAAGGGGGCACTGAGCATGCACAGGCCTGCTCTTGCGCCATGCAGTCCACGCACTCCTGCCGGGTTAGGCTGCTCTTGCCCCCTAACAGTGAAGCATTAGCAAGCCCACACCCTGAAGGCAGAGTTCATTTCTCAAACAGCTTTACTAGAGAGAAAGGAGGTTTCTGTCTGAAACAAGGGGGAACCCTTAGAGTGTTGTCTGGCACATGGTAAGAAATGTTTGAGCTTTGAAGCGAAAGTGAAAGTGTTAGTTGCTCTGACGTGTCCGACTCTTTGCAACCCTATGGACTATAGCCTGCCAGTCTCCTCTGCCCAGGGACTTCTCCAGGCAAGATAATGGAGTAGGTTGCCATTATCTTTCTCCAGGGGATGTGAGCTTCCGTTGGCATTCAGTCGTTCAGTCGTGTCCAACTCTTTGCAACCCCGTGGACTGCCTCACGCCAGGCTTCCCTGTCCTTCACCATCTCCTGGAGCTTGCTCAAACGCATGTCCATTGAGTTGGTGAGGCCATCCAACCATCTCATACTCTCTCATCCCCTTCTTTTCCTGCCTTCAATCTTTCCCAGCATCACGGTCTTTTCCAATGAGTCAGCTCTTCACATCAGGTAGCCAAAGTATTGGAGCTTCAGTTTCAGCATCAGTCCTTCCAATAAATATTCAGAGTTGATTCCTTTAGGATTGACTGGTTTGATCTCCTTGCAGTCCAAGGGACACTCAAGAGTCTACTCCAACGCCACAGTTTGAAAGCATCAATTCTTCACTGATCAGCCTCTTTTATGGTCCAACTCTCACATCCATACATGACTACTGGAAAGACCATAGCAGCCCCTTAGCCATTTCTCTTCGGTGCTCAAGGACTCAGTCCTGAGCTGTTGCAGAATTCAGAACAGACATCGAAGTCAGACCAGCAGTTGAGGTGCCGTTAGTGAGGATCAAGTGAGAGAACTCGGCCAGGAAGCAGGACAAACAGTAGGTTTTATTTGTACAACTGGTAGGGAAGGGTGGATCCCTGGCTGGGGGAAGGAGGGAGCCCCGGGTTTAATGTCATCTTGTAAGTGAGACTCTTCCCTCTGACTTGGCCATGAAGATTAGCCTGGGTGTGCCTGCCTGCCCGGAGGTCTGCCAAGGCCATTCTCATACCCCTCCCTAATAATCCATGGCCATTTCTTCCCTATTTCGGACTTGACTCAAAGCTCCCATTTGTTTCAGGATGTTCTTTAGTTCCTTACTATGTAAAGACTGAAGACAGGAGGAGAAGGGGACAACAGAGGATGAGATGGTTGATGGCATCGTCAACTCAAAGGACATGAGTTTGAGCTAACTCTGAGAAATGGTGAAGGACAGGGAAGCCTGGTGAGCTGCAGTCCATGGGGTCGCAAAGAGTCGGACACGACTGAGATACTGAATAACAACAACATGTAAACTGTTCAGAAGCATCCGCATCACCAGGGAGCTTGTTAGAGATGCAGAATCTCAGGGCCCACCCCAGACCTACTGAATCAGAATCTTCATTTTAACAAGATCTCCAGGTGACCTGTTATACAGGAAAGTCTGGGGAGAGCCCCTCCAGTTTTCTCCTGGGTGCCCTCAAAGTACCCTGGCCAGAGTTTGGGATTCAGCAGGAAAGTCCCATGTGTGTGCTGACTCACTACATATTCATGGCAACTGGGGCTGTGATAGGTTGGAGAAAGGGACGACTCTCCAGGACAGTTTCATGTGCTTTCTGGATAACAGGATTGAAGGGCACAGTGGGCAGGACATTGGACAAGTGACACAAAGTGAACCCCCTCCCCTCACAATCTGGAGAGAGGAAACCTGCTCCTTACAGAAGACACTCTGCATTTCTTGTGTCTTACCTCACTCAGTTTTTCAGGACTGAAAGCAGTAGTCAGGACACTTCTGACCTCTTCCCATCTTTTGTCACGTAAGAACAGGACACTGTCGGCCACTGGTTTGGGCTCCAAACCCGTTGCCTTTTGGAAAGAGACAAGCAGAGAATTAGGATGCCAGGACACCCAAGCCAGCTCGGTGGCCACAGAGTCCACGATAAACACTCTGGTTAAAGTTACCTGTGACCAACAATTAGATTTCTTTTGCAAGGGTATGAGGAATATAAAGGCTCATGGACAGTGATCTCAGGATCCATGGCTGAGTCCCCCTGGGAGCAGACGGGGAGGCTGCTCTGGCCCAGTTCTACCTCGTTACTCTGTGGTCATCACCATAGACAACTCGGGGGCTTCTGTGTGTTCTTTAGCCCCTTGCTGAGTGAACGTTCCCTGAAGACCCAGCAGCAGGCTTCTTGGAGGTGGGCTGGTCTTTTCTGGGATTGAGTGTCATGTCTGAACTATGTGGCAGGGGGTTTTGTGTGGCTGGATTGGTTAGGTTGGGCCAGATGTCTGGGTCCTTGGAATATGGGTGGGATGGGGGAGGAGAGGGGAGGGGAAGAAAGAGAGTCCTTAAGAAGCATGCATCAACAGAGCTGATTCCAAGAGAACGCCTGTCACCATGTTTGTGTGTGTTTTCACTCATTCATTCATTCATTTTTCTCATTCAGCAAATGTTTGTTGAATGTCTATATGAGAAGTTGCCTATACAGTGCTAAATAAAGAAGACATTGCATTGACTCTCACCGAGTTGGTAATCTAGTGGGGAAGCAGATGGCTCCTAAACTGACAAATAGCTATCATTATAGTTCAGAGGAAAGTGTGTGTTACAAAGGGAGTGCTGTCCTTATTTGCTCAGTCATGTCCAACTCTTTGTGACCCCATGGACTGTAGCCCTCCAGGCCCTGCTGTCCATGCGGTTTCTCCAGGCAAGAATACTGGACTGGGTTGCCATGCCCTCCTCCAGGGGATCTTCCCAATCCAGGGATTGAACTCAGGTATCCCATATTGCAGGCGGATTCTTTACCATCTGTTCACGAGGGAAGCCCAAGAATACTGGAGTGGGTAGCCTATCCCTTCTCCAGGGAGCTTCCTGACCCAGGAATTGAACCAGGGTCTCCTGCATTGCAGGCAGATTCTTTACCAGCTGAGCTACCAGGGAAGCCCATTATGAAGGAAGTGGAGGGTGGGCAACAAGGTGAGAAAATGATAGGAGATTAAATGGCCAGGAAGGCTTCTTTGAGGAGGAGATAGTCCAGGTGAATCTGGAAGCATGTGAAGAATGAGGTCTTCTCGTCCCTTCTTTTTTTTTTTAATGTTTAATTTATTTGGCTGCATCTAGTCTTAGTTGCAGTGCATGAGTTCTCTAGTTGCGGCGTGCTGCCTTAATTGCTCCATAGCATATGGGATCTTAGTTCCCCGATCAGGGATCGAACCCATATCCCTTGCATTGCACAGTGGATTCTTAACCACTGGACCACCAGGGAAATCTCTTCTCATCATCCCTTCTTCCCAGGTCATTTTCTTCCTTCCTAAAACCAGCTACTCTGACCAAGTGATCAAAACTGGGGGGCCTCCACAGCTGTTCAGAGCACCCCTAGCCCTAGGACTGCTGGGTGAGGGGAAGTAGAGGGACTGGAGGACCAAGCTTTCTTCAGAACCACACATGTGATGTATGGTTTTGCTATTTCTTTTCACTGTTTTAATTATAGTTGAAACATGAAGCCAGCCACCATAACTCAAAAGCCTTGTAAGAACTCCTGTTTAAAAGAAAATTATAATTTTCTGATAAAATATGAACACTCAAAATAAGCTATAAAACATAACTGCAAAGTATCTGGAGGGACTTAATTATATGTTATTAAATAGAACCAAGTTGCTGGGATATTTTTCTGCAGAGGAATACCTCTCTATATTTAGAATAAAATTCTTTAGGAGTACCGTGGTCACTATACAGAATTGTGGTTTTATGGAATTTTTAGAACATAACCCATTTGTTTAGGTTCCAGAGTCAAAGGAGAAAATCGTACATTATGTTTATTTGTATGTTGGCAAATGCCAGCCCTGTGCTATGCTACATGTAATAAAGCATTTCACTCCAAGGAAAGATGGGTGGTGGTTTATAGGGTTCTGATGAAACAGAATAAATTGGAGATGAGCCAAGGTTGATTGGATTTCATGTCTGTCCTTCAGACCTAAGGATAGACTCCATGAAAATTTTTATCTTGCACTTAGAGGAGAAATCCAGTCCCTGTGTAATATGTCAGCATTGGTCTCCCTTAACAGCCTGCCAAGACAATACTGTCCCCTGGACCTACAGTTTCAATTAGAATTCTTCCTTCCTTGATGGAGGATTTCAGGGGCACTGATTAGAGTAACGGTTTCATTTCTAGATATGATGCTGGAAGAGGGAAAGCAGCCAATTGGTCATTCCAGAAGAGTGGTTGGATGCTGAGGGGACAAGCTAACAGATCTGGGAATGAATAGCTGGAAAGAAAAGGCTTGGGAGATCAGATCATGGTCCTTAATCTGTGCTCAAAAGCTGTTTCTTGAATGCATGTTACATGGAGGAGGAAACTTGGCTTGTTTTTTGACCGTGGGTGGTAGAACTGGGGTCAATAGTGGGAGCTGTGGGGAAAATTCCAGCTCACCTAAAGAACTTCCCAATAAAGTCAGAAGGTTCCAAGATAAAAATAACCTGCCTTGAGTGGTGAGCCCCTGTCACTGGAGACTGTATCCTACTTCTTGGAAATTCTGCATGGGAGGTTTGAGTGGCCTGGGTGGAACGGGGAATATAAATGACTTTTAAGAACTCTCTCAACTCTGAGGACTTAACCTCCAGATGACCACTCCAGATATATATATAGTTTAAAGGTATACATGTATCCACTCTCCCCCAAACTCCCCTCCCACCCAGGCTGCCACATGACCTTGAGCAGAGTTCCTGGTGCTATATAGTAGGTCCTTGTTGGTTATCCATTTAAAATATGGGCTTCCCTGCTGACTCAGGCAGTAAAGAGTCTGCCTGCAATGCAGGAAACTTGGGTTCGATCCCTGGGTTGGGAAGATCCCCTGGAGGAGGAAATGGCAACCCACTCTAGTATTCTTGCCTGGAAAATCCCATGGATGGAGGAGCCTGACAGGCTACAGTCCACAGGGTCACACCCGGGTGGAGGGAGGTGTCTAAATGACTTTTAAGAACTTTCTCAACCTCAAAGACTTAACCTCCTGATGACCACACCAGGTATAGTTTAAACATATACATGTATCCATTCTCTCCCAAACTCCCCTCCCATCCAGGCTGCCACATGACATTGAGCAGAGTTCCAGGTGCTTGTTGGTTATCCATTTAAAATACAGCAGTGTGTACACGACCTTCCCAAACTCCCTAACTATCCCTTCCTCCCATCCTTCCCCCCTGAGAACCATAAGTTCCTTCTCTAAACCACTACAGCTATTTTAAAATTAGTTTGTTTCAAAGTGAAAGTTGCTCAGTTGCCTCTGACTCTGCAACCCCATGGACTATAGCCCACCAGGCTCCTCTGTCCATGGGATTCTCCAGACAACAACACTGGAGTGGGTAGCCATTCCCTTCTGCAGGGGATCTTCCCCACCCAGGGATAGAACCTGGTTCTCCTTCACTGCAGGCAGATTCTTTACTGTCTGAGACACCAGGGAAGCCAGTTTGTTTGTTTACACACACACACACACACACACACACACATAATACAGGTATTTTTTAGTTGTGGCAAAATACACATAATGTAACATTTACCATCTTAACCATTTTTAAGTGGACAGTTCGGTGGTATTAAGGACATTCACATTACTGTGCAACCATCACCCCATCCATCCCCAGAACTTCATCCTGCATAACTGAAACTCCACACCCTTGTCACAATAACTCCCCATCTATCCCCCTCCCCCAGCCCCATCTACACATAATAACTGATTAGATGTACTGAGCGAGGCCTTTGAAAGGTATGGGGGGGCTTGCCCTGCAGAAATGAGACTGGTAAAACTGATGGGGCCGGACTGTGAGTGCTGAGGCAGGAAGGGAAGACCTGGCTGAGGAAGGGAGGTCCAGGGAACCAGGCTCCACTCAGACTCTGGTCAGGGGCTTCCAGACTGCAGGCCATAACCAGTCACGAATGAATTTTGTGGATGGCAACCAGCATCGAAAAGAAGAAAAGAGAGAAACAAGGAATGGGGCAGAGTAGAAAATATTAGAGGGGCATTTTGTGAAGTGAAGGAAAGGGTTTTGTTGTCAAAGTTTTGTTCAAGATGGGGATATATTTATGGGTGTGTCTTCGGGAATGTTGGAGAGAGTATGTGAGTGTGTGTATGTGAGAGAGAAAGCGTTATGTGTTGTGTCCTGATGTGAAATACATTTCCTACTGGAGGTCACAGTCAAAAACATTTGAAAACCCTACTCTAACCCAAACCTGAGAGACATCCTCATCCTCAGCTGAAATCATGTCAGTCATCATGCTACCAAGCTGTGCACATTTACTGAGCACCTACTATTAGTATGTGCCAGTGCCGTGGAGGCTCTGAAACTATTGAGTCAAAGAATGGAACCCTTTGTCCTCAAGGAGCTCACAGCTGGTTTGCAGGTGGAGATGGGGTGGTTTGTGACCGATACTGTGGATCTCACAAGAATCAAAGTGCTTTTCACATTATTTCATTCCTTTGGGGATAGTTCTCCAATAGTTAGGAAACTGTCCTGACGAGCAGCCTGGTTCAGCCGTGGCCTCATGGCTCCCTTGCTAAATTTCCCTCAGACAGTGGAAAGTGTTTGTCTTTTCAATTCAGATCTTTTTTAAAACCATTTTTGTGACTGCCCTGGGTCTCCACTGGGTGTGTGGACTTTCTCTCTGTGTGGAGCTTGGGCTCCAGAGCACATGGGCCCAGTAGTTGCAGTGCCTGGGTTTAGTTGCCCCTAGGCATGTGGAATCCTAGTTCCCCGACCAGAGNGACGAGGGACTGAAGCCATGTCCCCTGCATTGGAAGGCAGGTTCTTAACCACTGGACCACCACGGAAGCCCCTCAATTAAGAACTCTTTAAAATAGAGTCTAACTCAGACCAA